ATATGTTGGTTGAATGATAGTTCATGGTCAAACAGAATGCCAAGATCCTTATAAGAGTCGGCACGATTCAAAACAATGTTTTCTAATTTGTAATCATAATAAAGAATACATTTCTTTCTGCTATATGAAACAATTTTACACTTAGAAGAATTCAGGTACAATTGATTTTCATTACACCATATCAATAACTTGTTAAGGTCATTTTGTATCTCTATACAATCCTCAACACTATTAATATCTCTATAAATCTTCAAATCATCAGCAAAAAATAGTTTATGACAATCAAGGACATGACTCAAATCATTTATGAAGAGTAAAAATAGCAAAGGGCCAAGGTTAGATCCTTGAGGCACGCCTGACGTTGTTAAATATGCCGGGGATTTAAAGCCATTATACTCAACATATTGTTCCCTTTGCTTTAAATAAGATGAAATAAACCTTTGAGCTAGAACAACAAAACCAAAATTACCTAGTTTATTCAATAATACAGTGTGACTAATCCTATCGAAAGCTTTGGCAAAGTCAGTGTAAACTGCATCCACCTGTCCTTGATTATCAAGAACTTCAAATGCAAATTGGGCAAATATAGTTAAATTCGTTATGGTTGATCTATTATTTAAGAAGCCATGCTGAGATTGAGACAATTGATTATGTACAGATAGATAAATGCGGTTATATAAAACAATTTCAAATAATTTTGCAAAATTCGAAATTAGTGTGGGAAAGTAAAATAACTCCTTTGTTATTCATAATACAGAAAAAAAGTTTATATAAAAGTGGTACAGAATCAAAAAACCTAAAGGACAAATTTAATTTGAAACATACAAGGCGATTAGTAAAAACGGGACACACCAAATATTACATTTTTAAAATGAAACACCCTGTATATTTCTAAACATATGGATTTCTGAGAAAATTCTGTATATGGTAATATAAACAGTTTAACATTTTAGTGAAGGGTTGCCAAGTTATGTAGAAAATTCTTCAAACGTTTCAAATTAATTTTGTAGTTTTTTCTTGATTCTGTCAACTTTTATATAAAATTTTTTTCAGTATTATGAGTAACAAGGGAGTTATTTTACTTTCTCACACTAATGGCCCACCCTATATATAGGTAATACTTATCTGTTTGATTTTTAAATACCAAGAATTATTTATATTTCATTTGATTAAATACAACATTCCACAATAATAGCATTATTTTCATATATAAATATATTTTTAAATCTCGCGGAAATTACAGCGGGATCCCGCTGTAAAGGCGAATTTACCGCAAATTTCCAGCTGGAAAAAAAAAGACTGCGGGATTGCAAACCCTAGTGTGTACATTGTAAGATTCCTCTTACGTGTTTATAATAAAATAAATAATAAATCAATTTTATTTGTCAACATAATTATTTTGTTTTTCACCATTAATTTTCATTTCCCCTCATATTTATTCATGTTTTCCAAATAGTTGAGGCATCTAATAGATATGATATAGGAACACAAAGTTATTTGTGTTTCAATGTAATTGTGAGGGAATATTTATGATCCCTTAACCTCCCTGGGCTATTTAATTTTAATCTATTCTATTTACATATCACAATTAGTTAGATTGTTTCTGTATGGCATAGTAACGAAGCCTGTTTCTCCTAGTCATTTTTGTTCATAGTGAATTTACTGAAGGCGCAAAGTAGTAAGTAAAAGTCATTTTAGATGTTTTAACATTATGCAGATATGTATTCAAATATGAACACAGATTAATAAAGATTATGAAGTGCGTATGTTTTACCTTTATAGCTATGGACCTGGCATTATCATAACCAACCCATTGGTCGTCCTTATAAGTATAAGGTACTTTTTGCTCGTCATCCCACTCTGTAGTCCATCCTCCTTCAAGTTGTAACTCACAAATCTAAAACGGCAAACATTTCCAACTTAAAAAAGAACTAATTAAAATAGTTTTTTTTTGGAAACTTTAGATAATTTTGAATACGTCATTTTTTAAAAATTATTTTCGTTAATAAATTCATACCAAAACCATTTTGTAATCCTTAAAACCGAGTTTAATTTCTTGGTTATTGACTTTTAAAAAAATACTAAGACGATATTTTTGAATGATTACAAGCCTATATTTTAGGTTTTAATTGCCGGTGTTGCGAGAAACAACTACTCCGAGGGCTATATGCCCCTACCGGCCCGGCATTGAATTATACTCGCAACACTTAGTGCAACAGCTAGGATCGTTCATCAGTTTAACTCACCAGGCGCAGACCGGTTTCGGACTTATTAGTCCTCATCAATGTTTCATAGGTGAGACAATCGACGAACGATCCAGCTGTTTTGCGTCGTATTATCACGATAAGGAAATACATTGTACGCGGGAGCGCAAATGGCTCCACCTGTCATGCAATATAGCAGGTCGCTTCCTCCAATTGAATGGCAAAGTTGGGAGTCAGCACGACAGATGGATCCATTTGCGCTCCCGCGTACAATGTATTTCCTTATCGTGATGATACGACGCAAAACAGCCGGATCGTGGGTTAAACTGACGAACGATTCTAGCTGTTGCACAAGGTGTTGCGAGTATAATTCAGTGCCAATAGGGGCATGTAGCCCTCGGAGTAGTTGTTTCTCGCAACACCGGCAATTAAAACATTGTCTTCTCCCTCTGTGGGTGGCAGTCGTGCAACAAGTACCTGCAATATAGCAGGTCGCTTCCTACTGTAGCCAATTGAATGGCACAGTTGGGAGTCAGCACGACAGATGGAGCCATTTGCACCCCCGCGTACAATATTTTAGGTGTCGATTAAAGCTCAGTTATCACCATTCGATCTTCTAACTTTTTATTTGTAGTGTGCGCTCTCTTAAGAGTGAGTTACTGACCAAATGAATTTGGTTGAACAGAACTACAAAATTGTAATGACTTCAAAATGCTCACAATATATCTCTTCATTTATTACAAATATATGAATGGAGATGACAGAAGAGATTTTTTTATTACCAATTAAATATAGTACGATATTTATTGACATTATATAAGTTTTTTTAGAAATATTTAAAACGAAATTTTACAATAAACAAACAGTGAACAATGAAAAGTGTTGTCGTCAAAAAGTATTTACACTTGCACTTAAACTGGTCAGGTCAGATTTTTAAAAAATTGTACACGTAGAATATCTGCCAGCACAATGTACTGCGTGGTCAATATATCTTGGGAAATGTGTTTGCCTTGAAAACGACTGAAGATAATTAAATTCTGATGATGCTGTACATTTTCAGTGTCTGTCACTCAAATATACGATGAAAAAATTTTGGTTATACAGGTTGTCTTTCGGTGATGGCCCATTAGAATATTTCAGAGATTACTTCGGTTTGAATTTTGAAAATTCGGACCCTAGGGTTTTCGGGGATGCTCTCTTTAAATATAATAATTTTTGTAGCTCTTCTGGTTATACCCGAAGTTGCCATCTACTTGCTTATTTTAATGGAACACCCTGTATATTCCATATTTGCATTCTACGCGTAATTTTAACTTTGAACCTCCAAAACTTGGTGTTTCTAAATGGAACACCCCGTATATTTAATTAAAAACTGTTGTAGAATTTTTCCTTCTATCTATCCCTGTAGGTACTCTCTTCATTTTTTTATGATAAATACTGATTTGAAAATAATGGAAAAAACATATTCAAGTGCTGATATTTAAAATTTATTACTTATTAAGAGTAGAATCCAAATATGTAAAAATATACAGGGTGTTCCATTTAAAATAAGCAAGACTTCCGATATAATAATAAGAGAGAACCCCCCGAAAACCCCAAAGCTAAATTTTCAACATTAAAATCGAAGTAGTCTCTGAAATATTTTATTGGACCGTCACCATAAGATAGCCTGTATGTATGTTCACACCGTTGGTAGCCTTCCGACAATTTTTTTTTCGTCAACCTGTGATTTGATGCTACCAGAAAGAGCTGTTAACTAATAATACACATAATAACATAACCATTTGATTTTCAACTATTTTGATGATATTGACAGGTCAGGTACACCACTTTCTTTAAATTTTCGGCACTGATACAGAAAAAATTAATGAAATTCTTCAACATAAACATATCTAAAGTCGCAGAATGATAGATCATTGTTGTCACGAAAATATTGAACCATTCTAAAATGTTTGGGAATAGTTACATAAATTTGGGTAATTCTGCAAAATAATTTTAGATACCTATGTTCACTTTGCAGAAAACAATTCAAGTAAAAATTTATAGTGTCGAAAAGTCTTAAAACTAAAATTTCTTTCCAGCAATATCAAAAAGGTTGTTTTTGATTAAAAAATTACTAGAGCGCTAACAGGTGGTATGAAAAAATTATAACTGAAATTTCTTTTCCTCACATTTGAGTTATAGTTACTTTTCGTAGAATTAACTATTATTTTTCGTTTCTAACATATAAATGATGTGTATGATGTGAAGATAAATGAGTACGCTCCTAATTTGTGAATCATTATCTTGTGTTAGAAGGATAATAGACATATATCTATCTCTTACTTCATTATAACCCAACATTCCTGCCTCCAAAGTATAAGGTCCAGAATTACCGGCACCACTGGTCGGCGCGCCTAGGGTGGTATTTGAGGAGCTTGTTAAGGTAAAGGTTCTTCCATATATTCCTAGACCCAGAGCGAGTTTTTGTGGATCTGCCCCTCTTTCAATCCATCCATAGACGGAAGCATTCTATAAAATAAATACATCGGGATATTTTCGATCATAACTTAATTGAACTTAATTGAAGTTAGTACTTTAGGGCCCTTGGTACAACTTTTCATGTGCTTTTTAATTCTACAGGAAAAATTGTACTTTTTTCAAAATTTGTTAAACTACATTATTTCAAATAACTACTGAAGAAACAATTTTTTCTATTTCCAAATAATATTAAAAACATTAACTATGCGTTTTCTTCAATTTTACATGGTAGTTATTTTGTGTATGTAAATATTTTGTTCCAAGCCAATTACCTATTTGGTTTTTATTAAGAGATACTAAATGATTACAAAATATTTGGTACCCGGGAGATATATAAGAAATTTTTTTTTTCATTTAAAAAATTCATATCCTTGTTCGTTTCTTCTCATATCGAGATTACCTCTTTAAGTCATTTATTAAGACACTTACCACATTAAGAAGCTTAGCACTGTCAGTTGTGTCAATGGATGATGCGTAAAGGGGAGCATTTTGACCTGTAACTCCATCCCAAGATCCGTGTAAATCGTACGTCATTACGTTTATCAGGTCTAAATATCTGAAAAATTATTGTCTTTTTAATTATTTACAAAAAAAATACCTTGTATCAACATACTACACTTATTTATGTATTATATTGTTTTGAGTATGAGTATACTCACAATCTCGTAAATTCTTTTCCGCCAACAAAACATTTATTTAGGCGAAGAGATTTTACTTGTTGTTAGTTTTAATATTTACAAAAAAATACCTTGTATCAGCATAATACACTTATTTATTTATTATATTGTTATGACTGAGTAAATTCACAATCTCGTAAATTTTTTTCCGCCAACAAAACATTTATTTAGATAAAGAGATTTTACTTAGTTTAAGAATAATCCTAAAGTCAATCATCTCGTACGTATGCAAATGTTTTCCTGAATGGAATATAAATGTAGGTAACTATTGTAATAATATTGACGAAGTGGAATTATAATGTCGCTGTTAATAAACTATTTGTTTATTATGACTTTGTTTTTATTAGGATGTTAACTGACATTTGTAACAACACGTTTTGATTAATGTTAAATCTGGCTTGCTTCATTCTGAATTGAACGGCAACGTTCTGATTCTTGAGAGAATAATCATGATTAATTTAGTCCTCGAACTTAATTTTTTTTATTATACAATATTAAGTTAGGAGAATCAATTAAATTAATCGGGAGTCATTGCTTCACATACAAAGGAAAGTCTAAAAAATAAATCGATACCATCTACAAAAGTGATTTATAAAATATAAGCTGATAAATTCTACATTTACATATACATATTGTTTATCTGTCTGAGAGAACGATAAGTTAGGAATGACACAGATAACGGTCATAGTAATATCACTTGTTTCATCCAAAATGTTTTTGTGTATTTTTAAGTTCGTTGACATTTAATTTTTAAACAATTGATGATACACAGAGGAAAACGGATAGAAATGTATTTATAACGATCTTTTCTTCAGAAATTATAGTTTTATTGAAAAAGGTAAAATGTATATTTCGTTAGTGAGTCTACCAACTGAAGACAAAAGTTAAGTATACGTTCATTGTGTATAGTATATAACGAATGCCTTTAATGACTCAAAAATGTTTTCTAATACCATTACAGAATTATAACAATGGGATATATCCATAAAAACAAGAATTTTTGAAAATTTCTGCTATGCCGACTTTTATAATTCCAGAAATTAGCTTTTCATATCATGAAATGTTATGATATTGCGAATGAGTTATTTCTGTTGAGAACAATATTGACATTTTCATATTACTATTGTTATATCATATATGTATAGAAAAAAGAAGATAGATGTTGCTAGGAGGTAGTTGTAAATAAAATAAAAGAGAAAGTGACATAAAAAATTATTGAACTGTTATAATATAGTTTTGTATTTTTAAAAGATAATAAAGAAGAGAGAAGGAAGTCTGAGTGATTATTTGTAATAGAAATTTAACAATTTCTAAGGGTAGGACTTGCAATATTTATTTTATTTGAAACCCATTTGTCTGAATTCAAAACGAAAAACTAGAGCTGATATATCTGAAATGTATTTCTAAATTAAAACAGTTCATATCACCAATTTTTCTTTATTTTCCGACCCTTTATATTAGTATTTTGGTGATTTCAATTTTTTATACTTGCATATATGTGACAGTAAGGAATTATCAATATAAAAGTGATATTTCTTTTTCACGTAAGATGAAAATGTAATTTTCGTTTCTAGATTTCATTTCAAAATTTAAATTATTAACGATTTTCATTTAACCAAGTAATTAAAGCATGAACCTTCCTATCAGTTAATTAAATTTTAACGGAACATGTTTTGTATATATCTAAATACAGGGTGTCTCATTGTCAGCGTACAAAAATTTACCAGGGGGTAGACCAGACCAAAATAAGATTAACATTCTTATAAAATATTTTTCTGCGATGCACTCTCACTGAGTTACAGGGTATTGTTTAGAAAAAAATAATAACAACTTTTCGCAATAACTCAAAATCCCTGAAAGGGATTTAAGTAATTTTTGCGAGAAGTGTACAGCTATTAAAGATCGTTAAAACTACATGGTGCCTATTTCGATCTGACGTCAGGGGCGGCCTAGGCCAACTTGTCCTCAAGGTTATGTCTTCATAATGTTTGCATATCCTAGTTTTATGTGATTTGATTAAGTTTTCCTAAATCTAAAATCGATTCTGATCAAAAAATGTGCTCTTGTTTCATAGCTCAAAAATGAACTGTTTTCGAGTAAATTAGGTCTAAAGTATCGACTGCATTAGTTGCCCTTTCCACCAGTTTCCGAATAATATCAATGCTAGTAGGTATTCCGTGAAGCAGTGTCTGGAGAATTTTAAACTGAGAAGAACTGCACCCATACCACCTATATAAAGTACAAACTTGCATCCTGGTGATTCCGAAAAAAGGATACAATTTTGCAGGTGGTTGTTAGAAAATATCGATAATGACGAAAATTTCCATCAAAAGATGAAAGAAGATTCTCCATAAATGTCTGGGGAGGAATCTTTAACGGAGTCATTCTGCCTCCTAAAATTATTGTAGACCATTTGAATTCAGAGAGGTACACGGATTTTTTAGAAAACATTGTTGATGGCGTACTAGATGACGTTCCCTTAACTTTGCGAAATTAAATGTACTACCAATAAGATGGAGCATCTACTCGTAATGGAAGACAGGTATCTGCGTGGCTCGATTTACATTTTCCAGAACGCTGGATTGGGAAAAATGGACCTATCATGTGGTCTTTCAGGTTTTCTGACCTCAACCCGCTTGATTTTTTTACTGGGATCGTATGAAGCAACTGGTGTATGCCAAACCCAGTAACACGAGAGACGATTTACTTCAAAAAATTAATGCAGCCGCCGAACAAATTCAAGCAACGAAAGGTTTACAATTCCTTGGTCAAACGATGTCCTTTCATGATAGAGGTAATAGTATATAAGTAAAAAGACTTACTGTGACAATGCTGGAACATCATATGAAAGATCCACGGATGACCCAGTTGCTGATACTGCTGCTGTTAACAAAAGACCATGTTCATCGAAGACTTCACGGAACTCCTTGATAAGGGTCACATAATTTTCCTACGAATTAAACCAATTATTTAGAACTACTTAGAATTATTAATTTAGATTATTTAGAAGAAATTAAACCATTATTTAGAACCAAGTTTAAATTAAATAAAGTTGGAAATACATAATTAAACATGCAAATTAATCACTTACCACGTCAGCTGATGCACCACCACGTTGTGCAGGATATTCCCAATCTATATCAAAACCATCAAAACCGTATGTTTGAACCAAATCGAGCGCATCCTGGATAAATGTGGCTCTCAATGTTGCCGAAGCAGCTACTGTAGAATATTTAACAGATCCTTCATTCCAACCTCCTACAGCTACAAGTGTTTTTAGAGCAGAATTCTTACTTTTCAAAGCGCTAAAGCTTGCGAGGTTTCCTAAAATGTAATGACACAATGATTACCTCTTTTAATTCAAAGTGCCAAATATTTTTTTTAACTGCTATCTGCGCTTATACAGGGTATCCCTTAATTCGTTTGCCAAACTTCTGCAGCGCATTCCTTGGTAAAAATTAACACACAAAGAACAAATAAACCAAGGGCCAATTCCGACTCATTATGAAGGTATCACTGTAATAAAAAGTATGGTAAAATTCCTCAAACTTTCCATGGAAATTTTACCAAAAATTTTATATATAGGTATATGTAGTGTATAAGAAAAACCTTAGTTCATTGTCATTTTTAATTTGCCATCTTCATAATGAGTCATATTAACCCTTTAGAAATTTGGCAGTCGAATTAAGGGACGCCCTGTATTTCAAAAATCCAAGCTTAAATCTACTTAGGTACATAAAATTGTACAGTGTTCAAAATAATTTACACAACATTTGATAATACCTAAATTTGAAAATATGGATTTGTTTACTTTGACTGGGCATATCTGGATCTTATAGCAATAAGAGTTTGAGTTGGCCACAGCTTTTTCGATGAAATGGTGAAACTTACCATTACTTACTGCTAAGTACGAGTCCAATAGATCTATGGTACCACTCGTAGTTATACCAACAAATGCATAAATTAGATGGGTGCACAGAGATGTATCAATGTCGTCGATGGTAAATTTTCCATTTCCGCTTCTGTATGTAGACCAGGATCCATGGTAACATACAACTTTATCTGAAAAAGGTAAGTAATTCTGAAGTTGAATATGAATATAACACTTAAAATAAAATGAACGAATGAAAAACAAAATATTGTTATACTTATGTATTTGCATTTGATACGACTTTTGATACGAACACCTATAAAAATGGTTGTACTAAATACACAACGTAATTTACTAGAACTCGGCACTATTTGAAAGTTAGGTTAGTCTTTTATTTTAATTTATTTATATCATAATTTCCAATATTATGTTTGTGAAGTACTATCGGATAGTAGTCAGATCATGGATTGGGAAAGATCATAGAATAATTTGTTAAGTGTTTGTGCTTGACATTTTCATTTGTTTTGTAGTTCAGTTGGCTAGTAGGTACAACCGCGTTAAAATAAGATTGTGATGCAAAAATGAACAACCGCAATTTTTATGGCCCTAAGAATATTATAAAAATAACAACATACGGTTCAAATGTTAGTGCATAAATTATTTTTAATTTACCTATTACAGTACAAACTAAGGAAATATAAGAAAAATTTGTGTACGTTGCATATCACTACTTTGCTGAATTAATCATATCTATATTTTAGTTTGTCGTTAATGACAATTCAGAAACATTTTTTATTGTTATAAAAGTCGAAATGTTTTCTGAATTATATTTTTGATGAATCCCATAATTTTTATTTTGGGTCAAGTACCTACATTTATTATTGGTAGGTATAAATGAAGGTTTTTCCAATCCTCTTAAATAAATTTTTATTACCATTATCAAAAGACAATAAAAATGCGACGCCTACTTGCCTAATCCAATTTAAAGGAAAACATTGATGTTTATCCCATAAACGAATGAAGACGATAACAATTCAAATTCGTTTAAGTGATAATGAGTTAAGTTATAATTACTGTGATAATGTTCAACATAAATATTTTTAATGGAGAAACAACTCTTTGCTTCTCGTAAAAATTAATATCCTAAATCCTTGTTTTTCATGGAGATATTTTGTTAATGATGCCGTTACATTTTACAGTTTCCTGCTGTTAAATATTTATAGATTCTATATTTTCTCGCAAATTTATATTTTGGTAAAAGCTGCACGAGAGAAGGAAAAAAGTAATACTGCTCTTTTAAATAGGCTTCTCCATATTTAGATGACTCCAGTTTTGACTTAATAATATTGCTCCTATAAAAAGAAGTTTATTTATGCTAGTTTTAATATGTATATGTATAATTCATGGAATTAGACACGATATTTATTAATTTTTCTAGATATACACAAGAATTGAACAACGGATATTTTTCGAACCTTTTTTGTCATTTCCTAACCTCACAAAAAAATTCTACAAGTAGTTCTGATGACGTTAGTCTTTTCAGTAAAACATGTTGATTTCATAAGACTTTCTATAAGTTGCAAATTCTCTGTAAGCTAATAGAATGTTACAGGTTTGCTTAAAGGTGTATTGCAAAATAGATCCACTAAGCTAACCTTAAGACTACCTACCTTTTTATTACATGACTGCTTGAAAAATGGAACCATGTTTGATGATTTGTTTTCAAATTGTTATGTTGGCTCAATATAACTCGTACTCAGGTGGTCAAAATTACAGTTTTTAGCTAAATTTACTGAAATTCGAAGATGATGTGAGAAAGTTACTTGTTTCAAATATTTCTACGCTTATATTTTTTTAATATCCTATTACTTTATGTCCCGAAACTGATACAGAGCAAGAGTAAATGAAATAATAATGCGACGTAGCCAAATATACCTTAGTCTCAAAGTTGATGCTTAAAAAGATAGAGGATGAATTTAAAATTCAAAATATTTAAAAAGTTTTCAATGAATTGCTTTGAAAATTTGGATTCAGGGGTTTTCTGTAACGAGAAACTCGAATCCGTACTTAATCTTGCTCTAGACGCTAGAGGGCATTACAAAATGTACTATTGTTGGATAAAAATTGTTCAGAATATTTTCCTCACCGAAAGTTTTAATCGAAAATTACGCTTAGCTTAGCACTTAGTTTTAATTTAAAATTTTAACTTTGACATCCTGTACCATCTTTTTGAGCGTCAACCTTTGGGCTAAGGGTAAGTTGAATTATTTTGTCGTCGCATTAATTTCAGGATACCCTGTTTCAAATGAATTAACATCTTTAAATAACATTTAATTTTTTATAATTTTTTCACAAATAAATTTAAAATGATAATACAATCCTTTCAAGGAAAGTCAAAATCCAATTTTTTTGGTTGTTTAAAACGGCAAAAAATTAAGTAGGATTTCTTGTTTCCCTTGAAGGACTTATATTTTATGCGATAATTTAATAAAATGCACCTGAAACAAATAAAAGATTTATGGAGATATTCACGTTATCATGATGGGTATTTTAATCTACTTTGATTTTTACGAGACTCGTGTTTTTTGTTTTTCCGAAAAAAAATTTTGAAGCTCTGTGGCGCCATGTCATAGTTTACATAGTGATGGGGTTATTCCGAAAATTAAAATACCTACATATTTTTTTCAAGTGGAAGTCATTTTGACCCAAATCATCCTATCGAAACGTTTTTTTTTCCAAAATGTGCAGAATTTCATCAGCTTTTAACTGTTTTTTCAGATTACTTTAAAACTTTTGAGAACGAAATTTTGTAGTTAGTATAATCTTTAAATAATCTTCGCGAAATTGTATCTACCAAACGGAGCAAATGGGTATGTTGCCGGCTAAAAGGTAGCTTATTTGGCTTGAAAAATATATCCAAATTTGGTGAAAATAAAAGGTGGGATTTTTGAGAAAATCAATTTTGGAAAAAATGACTTCGGTTTTTTAAAGCAATTATGAAATGAATTATGAAATAACCAGGTAAAAGCTGATAAAATTCTGCACATTTTGAAGAAAAAAGAATGATTTGAGTCAAAATGACAGTCACTTGAAAAAATATACATTTTCGAAACCGTATCTCCTGCACGAAACAAGTTGGCACATTGCCGTTTGGCTAAAACATAGCTTATTTGACCTTGAAAAACATATCTAAATTTGGTAAAAATAAAAGGTGAGGTTTTTAAGAAAATCAATTTTGAAAAAAGTCATTTTTTCCGTTTTTTTCATTTAGTTTTAAAGCAAGCAATTTGAATTCTGAAAAATACAGGTAAAAGCTGATGAAATTCTACACATTTTGAAAAAAAAAACGTTTCGATAGGATGATTTGGATCAAGATGACGACCGCTTGAAAAAAATATATACATTTTCATTTTCGGAATAACACTGTCACGACGATGTAAACTTTGACATGGTGCCACAGAGCTCCATTTTTTCGGAAAAACAAAAAACACGGGTCTCATAAAGTTTAAAGTAGATTAACATTCCAAAGTTTCAAAAAAATTGAAGAGGTTGATTTTTTTTGCTCATTGCCCATATGAAAATTACCATATATTTATTATTCAAATAGCCGTGTTATCTATGAACGAGAAAATGTACTATTTACATAGCTTCCCTTTATTGTTTTTGCACCTAGAACTAAACAAATATTTTTATTAATTTCAGAACCCTGAAAAGGATGACATACATAAGAACGTTTTTGCTAATTTGTGACGTAGAATCCGCCGTTAAAGTATGGCCAAGTATTTTAATAACACCCTGTAACTATGATAATATAGTGATATTTAATATAGCAGAAAATGGTTTTTTGCTAGTTGTTTGAATAGTAGCTAGATTTGAATGTGTGAAGACATTTTATTTTCCAAGTTCTCCAAATGTCACCTCAATTTCCATCAGGGCTTTGAATAATCTCCCTTTTGTTGGAAGTAATTTGGGTATCGTCCTTCAGATTTACGCTTTCCCAATTTCAAGACACTCTTTGTCAAAAGAATTTCCGCCTAATTTTAATGAAACCGCATTTATGTAAATTAATACGCCCACAGGCGGATTAAAAATAGCCGTAGATCGCGAAAGAGAAAAATTTCAATTACATTTAATGAAATCTGAGATTATGTACAACCATCCAAATGCGGGAGAAAATTGTCAGTGTGTTTTCGCGCGTAAAGTCGTATTATCGTGGAACGAAAAAATTCTCTCACAGAGTCTAGCTTAGGAAATCCTCAGTGAACAGCAAAATTTGCAATGCGTTTTCGCAAAATATTCGTTTGTTATCACAATAAAACGGTTCTTTACGAATTACATGATATTAATTAGAAGAATTATTAATCCTTTCTATGTCAATTTCAAATAGGCAACTTCCGTCGCGTCGGTACGTTAGAAATCAATTTATTATTATTACCAAATGTATTAATATAGATCTTTAGATGAAAACACTGTCGCTACTTGCAGAACTATTATACAGAGTGAGTCACGAGGAATTTCACATACTTTCACCATAAACAGAGTTCATTAAGGGGAATATCAAACTAGCATTAAAAGATTAGACTTCACTTCTTTATTCATATACAGGGTCATTTGTAGATTTAGACCAAATATACTTTTCGATACAATACGGTTTGTTCAAATTCTCTAAATTCTTGGTTAATCTACATATTGTTGACTGGCATGTGTCTATTTTAAAAAATATAAGTGACATTTAAAAAAATCGCGTACAGTCTAAATTCTTTGATATCAACTCTCGTTGGTCCTGGAATTTTTGAATGTTTGAAAATTTCAGACGAATGCCAACCAACAATATATAGTTACCAAAAAAAATAGAAAATTTGAACAAACCTTTGAAATATTGTATAGAAAAGAATTTTTTATCTTAATTTACAAATGACCCTGTAAATTAATAAAGGAGAGTCGACACTTTGTAATGTTACCCTTATGTTTATGATTTTTTTAGTGTAGTTGTGTAAATATGTAAAAGATATTTATTAAAAAAAAATAACTATCGAGATAGATTTCTGAATTTTTAAACAAAAAAAAATAATAATTAAAATTTCTGTAGTCGCTCTTTGTACTCAAAAATTATGTTTATAATAATTTAATCAGGGAACAATGTTCAATTAAATAAAAAAACAATTATGCGCATGTCCAATCCAAGGTTATAAACAAATATTTGATTTTACGTTGAGAATAGTTCATGCTATTTAATGTAATATTATCGTGTGTAATATAAACATTTCCTGGTACTTCTGAATTCCCGACTATTTTAATTCACCGTTACATAATAAAGGCTTCAAGTGAACTTAAGGGATTAATTATTAAAAATGACGAAGATAATGAAAGTTATATATTTATAAATCAGTATATACCTAACAAGGATTTATAAAATCTACAACTTATTTACTTATAACTCATAACAGATAAGTGAACAGCGAAATTAGCAAAATATTTACTTAGTTGTTTTTGTAATTTTTGAACTGATTTATATTACACTATAAATTTGTTTCGAAACACTATAAACTGGTATCATATAATACATCATTAATATTTTTTAATAGTTTTGTATGTACTTATACCAAAAATACTTAAGTACACAGAACATATTTAATTCAAGTTCAATTTTTTTCTTTCTTGGGTTTTATTATAAAACTGACGATAAATTCTAACATATTTTTAAATTTTCAACAAATTATATTGTGGGAAGTAAGTATATGCTTGCATTAAGTAAAATTGACATTTAAGTTCTGACATATGCTTTCTAGGTTATGTCTCATTCACACTAAAAATATATTTCCTGTATAATATTAAACTGACTTTCTAAAAATATTTGTCTAATCGTTTTAGAAAGTATTCTTACATAAATTGTCAAAAATTCATTTCATTTTAACGCATTTATGCAATGGAAATATTTAGGTAGAAATTTGTATAACGTATGCGAGGTCTGTTCAGGAAATTGCCGGGAACATTTTGAATTACACACTAATGCAGATATTTAATGATATGCGGTTGGCACAATTATGTTGCGCATAACCTCAGTTGTAATCACATGTTCGTGATATTGTTATTTGAGTGCAACGTATTTAAGTGTTAGTAACGATTATTAAACGTGCGATTTTCTGGAACAACGATGCAACGTAAAATTCTGCGTGAAACTGAGGAAAACTTATACGCAAACATTTCAATTTTTCAATGCTCACGATTTTAAAAGCGTCGTCAGTCAATTGAACATGATCCTCGACCAGGAAGGCCTCCAACTTCAATTGAAAGTTCACGTTCAGAAAGTCAAAGACCTGGTGTTTGTAAATTGCCGATTAACTCTTAGAGAAATTGCAGAATAGGTTAGCATTTCAGTTATGTGATGCCATGAAATTTTGATAAAAATTTAACAAGCATCGAATTTGTTCCTCGTTTGATGACCGAAAAACAATAAGAAAATCGTGTGGACGTTTGTCGGCAACTCCTTGAGCAATCCAATGACGATGAAACATTTATTCAAAGGATCATAACGGGAGACCAAAGCTGGGTTTACGGCTACGACATTGAGACAAAAGTTCAATCATCACAATGGATTGGCAAAGAATCTCCACGCCCCAAGGAAGCACGGCAGTCTCGATCCAATGTCAAAGTGATGCTCACTGTTTTTTCGACTTGTGCATTTTTAATCCTGGCTTCAGAACAATGCGAGCGCATACTCAGCTTTGTTAATTTATTACTTTTGTGCCAAAAATCAGATTACTGTCTTCCTTTACCTTCCTTACTCGCCAGACCTGACTCCTTGCGATTTTTTTAATTTCCGAAATTAAAATCAGTGCTAAAGGGCCGCCGTTTTCAGACTATTGATGACATTAGAGTTAATTCGTCACATACTTTAAAAGCTGTTAAGTTATCCAGGGTACCTTCGCGAAATGGAAACACCGCTGGGAAAAGTGTTTGAATAGGGGAGTACTTTGAAGGAGGCAAGAGCCAATAATGTATAAAATTAATAATAAAGTTTAAAAAATAAAGTTCGATTATTTTCTGAACAAACCTCGTCTATTGTGGAAAGTAACTATATGCTTGCATTGAATAGCAATGACATTTAAGTTATGACATATGCTTTGTAGGTTATGTCTCACCCATACTCAAAATATATTTCCAATATAATATTAAACTTATTTTCTCAAAATACTCGCCTAACCGTTTCTTCCGTTCTTAAATAAATTGTCATTATTCGTTTGGTTCCAATTTATGCAATGGAAATCCTTAGGTATATTTAGTCCATTTCCCATCATTTTGTCCGTCGAATGATTTTTTCCGAGAAAAATATTGAAAAACCGAACGGAACAAAAACCGAAACGCAAACGTAGCAGAACAAAGTTATATATATATATATATGTATAGTGTCCATTTATCTTCGAATATAGAAGATTTTGTCCCTCAGTTGAAAAAGCAGTCCTTAAAATGCAGAAATAAATTATTTAGGAAACACTGACTGAAAATGGTATTATTCTTTATCTAAGGTGTATTAGAAACAAGAATAGAACATTAAGTTCTTTGACTATTCACTAGTTGGAATGTGTCAGGTACGTATTTTTCATTAGCTCCATTGGTTAGGACTTAATTATTACTTAAGGTAAGGATTTAAGGTATTTAAGGTAAGGGAATGTACTTAATCTAAGGTAAGGACCTGGTACTTAAGGTAAGTTAAGGATTTAAGGTAATTAAGGTAAGGATTTAAAATAAGTACTTACGGTAAGGACAAGTTGTCTAGAAATTATGGCAGCAAATTTAAAGATGCTACTCATAGAAATAATGATTTGAGATCTTATGACATTTATTTCGAAAATTCAATATTAACAGTTACATTAACGAAGTGGAACAAGAGTTATTGAAAAAAAAATTAAAATAAATTTCCATTTTTTACAAATTTTGTATTAAGTTTGGTAGAGACTTATACCATTATTTTTAATGAATAGAATCTCCCTACATTTTTCCAGACACCCCATACATTAGTTAAATCATTAGTAATAGAACTGCACTGTACAAAATTAGAAGTTGCGAGTAGTACCGTCAATCATTTTTGGAGAAACATATTGCATTTTACGTTTCACACTATTGGAGAACAAAGTTTTGTCGCAACATCATCGTTACAATATATACATTTTTGAAAAAACATATACGGGTTTTTAGAATTTTTAAAGGCAAACATTGTATTAAAATCAATTTCTGATTGATGAGCGCTTGACACGATAAAATAGATAAAATATCTACTCCAATATTACTTTCCAAATTCATAACTAAATAGTAAAAAATGCTTAGACAGATATAAAATTGTTTGCACTGAGTGAGTCTTAAGGTGGCCATATTCCCGGCCGAGAAATAGTGAAATTTCTGGCGTTTTTAGGTACTGAAATCTTTGAAAGTAAAACGTGTAGAACAAAAGTAAGCACAAAAATAAAATCCTTGATGTTTTGTTTATTCATTGTTACCATTTAAATTTACTCAAATAAAATAATAACTAAAAAAAAGCGTTTGTAAAACATGCGTTTGCTGTTATTCTAACCCCACATTTTAAGAATTATTTTCACGTACTTATAAATAAAAGTAAACAATTTTATATGTAGGACTAAGCAAGTAAATGTTATAAGAATATTTACATGTGGAATTATATATAAAAAAGTTAGTATTTTCGAAGATTTCAGTACCTAAAACCTTGATGGTTTGATCGTTTTTTGCACCTGTTTATTCGTTTTACTGCGGCGTCTTTGAAAATAACCAGATGGCATGACATAACATTCCTATTATTTGATAAGCTTTAGATTATTCAGTTATTAAATGTTTGAAATTATTTGTCTTTGCGGAAAACACTATTTAAAGAATATGGGGCCCTTAAGCAAATTATCGACGTTAGTAAATAAATGATTTGTTAAATATAAAGACATAAATACCTGTAGCAGCTGAAACAATTTCAAACGAGAGGCATGAGATAGCCAGAATAACTAAAATCTTGCTTCCCATGGTCCAAATTTATTCCTGAAGAAAAATATTATCCAGATTATGTTCCCCACGTTCTTAGTTATATTGTGAGTTCACTCACCTGTTTAACACTGTTGAGTGTATTGAAAACAATGAACAACTAAACAATCCTAAACTCTTCCCCGGTTTTTGTATAAAAGGTTTGTTTGCTCACGTAATCCCTTTTTCAATAAAAGCTAATAAATTCCTTGTAATTTGATTCAAAATTCGCATGTGTAGTTCTGAATTAGACCGGTGTATAATAAATTTGGATTTTATTTTATTAATAAATAAAATTAGATAGCAATTGTGTCGTAAATTACATCCTGTTTTTATAGCCGACCTCTCACAGAGTCTCAGTTTACCCTAGTTTATCTTTTAAGTACAAAAGTATTATAATTTGTTTATAAAAAAATATATTTTAGTCAACAGGTGCTAACAAAAACAGGAATTTCTTCTACAGGAGATAACACTAAATAATGAACACAAAATTTTAATATCATCATTGTAATTTTCGTTAACTGACATTTTTATTTCCTTATTGTCTAACAAAACGAAAAGAATAAATATAAATTGTGTTAGGGCTATACAGAGTATTACTCTCGCTGTACATATTAAAAACATAGAACATTATTGCTAAATAAAGCGTGTTTACCATTTTTCCTGCATTTGTTATCCACTGTTGTTTTAAATAAACAAAATAAAATATTAATTCAGTCGGATATTCGAAAATACTTAGCATCCAAAAGTATAATAAAAAGCAACATTCGAAGCCAAATTGTATGAGTGAAAATTTTTGCCAATTTCAATTAAGTCTCCAGGAAAAGGAGTTACTAGAGTTACTAAAAACATTTTTATTTAGTAAAATAAATATATAGTAGCTATGTATTTTAATATCTGTATTACGGAAGTTCACCTGCCTGTAAAAAAGTGATGGAAACGAAGATATGAAAAAAGATATGAAGAACGACCAGGATAAAATGATGAATAGCCAGGGAGAAATGAAGAGTAGTTTACGAGAAAGGAACAATAACCAAGAAAAATTAAAAAATGAGTAGTTGACGAAGAAATTATGCCTGCCAACCTTCCTAATTTTCGAAATTATCATCGTAATTGATTAGTATTGGACAAGTTTGGAAGAGGTCGAAGTTACGGAATCTGAAAAATCGTCAGAACAACATAGACATTTTAAAGTTTGAATTCAATGAAGCAAAAGAACAGGACTAATTTTTATGGCAAAGATTTAGCATGGAGGGGCTAAATAAACGGGTCCTTGAAAAAAGAATGCAGTGAGGAACCAGATTTTGGCACAACATTTAAATGAATAATTAAAAACTTTGAAAAGTCACTAGGCATTACCAGATGGCCAAGTCGTACAGAATGGCACGTTAAAAAGAATATCGAGCAGTTGTAATAGCAACGTTAAAAAAGTTTCAGTAGTTCTTTAAGTACTTAATATATAAAAAAAACGTGGAAGATCTTATGTTATTACAGGCCGGTGTCAACCATGCGTAATTTTTGTAGGATAAGTATTCGAATTTTTACTTCACGATTTAATATTTCCTTTAACAAAGATAGAATTAAGCCATTTCAGCACTGTAGATCGATGGCAACAAATTCAAATGGACGTATTATATTTTGATTCCACTAAAGTATTTGATCTCTTAGGTCGTCGTCTTTTGCTCAATACTATTTCAAATTTAACGTTCTAGTAACTTTATTTTAGTTTTATCTCAACTACCTCACCAAATAGGTCACAAGTCTACCCCGAAACGTCTGTTTATATACAGACGATGCCGACGTTAACATTGAATACAAAACTGGATCGAACTGCAAACAAATCTTAAGTTAACTAATAAGTGGTGTATTACAAATAATCTCGAACTAAACGTTAAAAAATTCAATGTGTTCTCTTTACCAAGAAAATTATGCTATGTATCAATACTTACTTAGTGACATTCATATTTCTCAAGTGGACTCGTTTAAAGATCTTGGTGTTATATTTGACACGAAATTATCTTTCTCTCCTCATGTAAATGCAGTAATCTTTGATTCTGTTTTTATTGTAAGGTATACAGAAGATTATCAGCAATACTCTTAAGATACCTTATGGCGTCATACGTACAATCTTAACTGGAATACGCGACAATAGTTTGGATTCTGGGCTAAAAAGTCCACACTGACAACTTGGAACAGATATAGCAAAAATTCTTAAAATATTTGAAAATTAAAGGTTTTTAATCCTGAACACAATGAACTATTTAAAATGCTCAATTTTTCTTCACTAAACAAGCGCCAAAAATATTTTTTGAATTCTCTTTAAAATATATAACAATCGGTCGTTTCTTAATTGTGGATGCATTCAAAATTCGGACATTACTTATTTGATTGTTTTTAATTTTAATTTCCACTTCTTTATACTACTTTGTATTTTTTTTGATAATTCTTCCTTTATTGGTTGTCTTTTATATGATGAACTTTTCACGTGTAACTTGGATCATTACCATGTAGTTATAAAGGGTGTCCAAAAAGAGACGCAGCATTTCATATGAGGAAAAAGGATTTTATTATTTAAAAAGTTGGCAAAATTTTTACATGATTTTAAATGGTAGACATTGCCATTAAATATGAAAGAGGATATCGAACAGATGTACTCATTCGGCATACTAGACTTTTTTTAAGAAAATTCTGTATCACGCTTTTTCTTAGCAAAATCACCATCCACTTGTTGATTCTCCAACATCCAATCAACGTATGTCCGGCGCATTAAATGGTCATCTGGTTTCAATTCCAGGTTAGCTGAATCTTGAATGGATGCAGATGCAGATCTTTCGTTAAAATCCTCTGCATTGTGCTTTTTGAAATGTTTAGTTGCAGTAACCGAAGGCCCACTGAGGTTACGGGAATTTTCGCCACACTATCACTCACTGAGGTAATATTTTCGGCTGAACGGTCAGTTCGAGGACAGCCTATTTTTTTTATTGTCTGCAACCGATCCTGTTTGTTCAAATTTGTCAACTAATCTTTTCACAGTTGCTTTATTTGGGGCGTAACTTCTATCGAAAATTTCACGTAATTAGCACACAGTCTCAGCTACACACTCTCCGTACTAGTAATGAATTTTCAAAACCTTTACTCGCTCATCCGTCCTATAGCGCTCCATTTTGTCTAACAGTAACGTGTTTAGTACACATATCATATGACTTCGCACAATGCTGCCAACTCTTCGGAATGAAAATGACGCACAATTCAAATCCTGCGTTACTTTTAGTACACCTCTTATTTCTCCCCAGCCTGTCTTATAATTGCTACCTGTAAGGCGGGTATTGCGTAAATAAATTATCAAACAAATAATTAAATAAATGTTATTAAAGGGCAGATACCGTTTTTTGAGCTTTTGAAGACGCATTTGAATATTTTTCTTAAAAAACTCAAAAATAAGCGAGAAAAATAATAAGAAATATTAATTTATTCACTAAGTTCACAAACTGAAAAATAATAATAAAAATATATAGTTAAAAGTAACGGAAATCTGATAGAATAGTGATTCAAACATGTTGAATACCTTTAATGTAATCATTGTCATAAAATTAAGCTTAGTCGGAGGATATGACAAGTTTTACACACAATAAATAATAGACAATAAAAACATTATTGGCTCGATATAAATGTAATGATAATGATAACACAGAGGCGAAATATATTTTGAACAGTTTTATGAATATATTACGTAGTTTAGGATTTCATTTTTAAAACTGATAGGTACCTACCAATAAAATACTGTGTTTATGACATATTATTTTATACGAGGATTCATCAAATAATATGCAACGAAATATTCAATAATTTTTCATAATAAATAAAACTTGAATATTTTCTTGCATAATTTCTGATACGAAAATATGTTTTCTCGGAGAAGAGAAAATTCTGTTATCTAGTCTTGATACAGAGTATTTGGTACTGTTAACGACCAGTCCCTTAATCGTCGCTTCGCCCTCAAAACGGTTCCCTATAATATTTTCTTTAGCTACTGAAATAGATGATATATTAAGAGATGTCCGAAGCCATTCAGACAATTTGTATAATTTCAGCCACGTTGTGTTACCTATATAAAATTTAGCCAATAACGATAAAAGTATATGCCAACTTGTTGGCAGGGTCCTTTACTAATTATTTATAAATCGGCAATAAGTATGCTCTGATGTAACTCATTTTTTAAAGTTTTCCAAAAACTTGTATATAGTCGTTCGTAAGGGTCGTCCTTAGTCAGCGACGATGCATTGCATTTTCAACACAATCTCATTCTTCCAAATATTATTTAGCTATTTTATAGGCGCCGATTTGAGGCGGCAGTTAGACAACTCTTGAAATATTAATAGCATCGGATATTTCATCTGTATTATGTCGAACTACTACTATTATTATACAATAAACGAAGAAAATGGTTTGGTGCAGATAGTATAACCAATGGAAGAGAAAGAAAAATACGTATTAATAGTCTAGGTTTTACATTAGTACTGTTTCAACAGTATGTGGGTACACATGTTCGCAAGTGACCTAGCCAAGAGCGCCAGCCTGACGCTGCTCAGATGCACCAGGATTCCCGGAAGACGACCCCGGCAGATAAGCGCCAAGGACCAGGTACTTCTGCGAGCGACTCCACGCCAAGACGACTCTCCAGCAAACACTCGAACCGACAACACGTCTTTATCACAAGCTTAGGTTTTCAGTAAAAATACTTTATTTTTACCGTTGATAGAGCGTTTTGTTTTACTGTACAGCGAAAGCAACCCTTAAGTACATCTATTGCTTGAGTTAAAATTAGTTGTTTCTTAACTGTCATCTTTACGCATCAAAAAGTTTTTTATGTTCCAATGTTAGTTTACTGTGGGTAAAACTGTAGTAATGGAGTATTATTATTATCATTATTATTATCTAGTTATGTTTTATCACTTCCAACCATATTGTAGGCAAACTTATTTATGTCGGTCTGTACTTTTACTCACATCGGATTTTTTTAATTTTCACATTACGCAGCGGTGGTCTATGGAAAATCTTCCTACTGTCCGTTTCAACATCGTTTTTCCAATAACGTTTGAGCAGGCACTGTGAACAATTTTTTAGTAGGATCTTTTTGCCACA